GGTTAAAATTGAAGTATACACATAGCTTGAGTAAAATTGAATAAAAAATCAATTGTATAAAAATTAATTAACTAAGCACTAAACATAATATAATAAATCAATATTTTTCACCTATATTGAAATGTCCTGTTATTTTTAAGAAATGAAACTTGTTTATTTCACGGGTAGTAAGCTTAAGATAGTGTTTTTGAGTGTATTCAAGTTTTTGACGTGCAAAATATTACTACGATACAAATATATTTTAAGACATAAATATAAAAATAAAAATAAATAAAAATAAAAATAAAAATAAAAATAAACATAAATATTGTATAGATATACAACATTTGAACATTTTAATTTAGGGACGCGCATACTGTCTTACAAAAAAGGTCACAATAACAATAGTGATGCGCCGACGTCAACCGGCGCGGTCCACATGACCACGGGAACAATTGGTGAGTGGGTACTTGTTTTGGGCGGAACTCAGAATTCGTTTGCGTAGGTACACTACAATTTTTTTACCTGAAAAAGACAACTCGTTTGAGTAAAATAAACAATGTTGAAACAAATTTTGAGATGAAAAATGACGATGAGTGATTTGTGTATACCTATAGGCTATATAGGTATAAATCACAGATAATATATTCTAGAAAATTATGATTTGCCTAACTCTGATTTTCTTCTAGTATGTGGGCAAGTGCGCCAAGTAACAATCTAAAGACAACGAACGGAGTTTAAAGTCTTCATCGTCGTTACAATGGCCAATTTTGCACTAACCAATACAACTCACCACACCCGAACATGTAACTAGTAACTAGTTATCAAAACAATACAAAAAATTCAATCAGAATCAGATTTAAACTTTAATTTAATAAAGAAAACTATAATTAATGTTCAAGACGCCATTGATCAATTTAATTGTTTCGACGAATATTGGGAAGAACTTTGACGTAAGAAATCTAGATCTTTGTGTATAAATATTATGTTGATAATAGGCAAATGCCAAATAATATTACTTCAACTTTCTTTCCGTATTAATAAAAACTATATGAGTATAAACATAATATAAATTATCTTAGAATAACAAACCGTATCCACACGGCACACGGAATAGTTTTTTTCTATACAATTAATTTAACACCATACATTACAGTGACCCACTTGTAATCTACTGTACAGCAGTCACTCACTTGACCCACTTTTTATTAGGTAATTAATTACTTGTAATCTATGAGTCATAGAATTCACAACAATAATCGTACTCAGTAGAAACTGAAAATCATAATTATTATTGAATATTTGTTGTTTTAAATGTATTCACAGTTATGTTGTTTTGAGTTACAACTTACAAATTCCTAGAAACTATACTGAAGAATAAAAAGCATTGCGGATTTTCAGAACTCGGGTAATTGTCAAAAACAACAGGTTTAGTTTTGTAATAGGTAATTCGAAGAATTAGCAAAAACAGCGACCTCAATTCGCCGATTCCATAAAAGCTACAGTAATAGTTTGAGCTAAGCGATATTAATTAATATTCCTCATGGAGATTGGAGACCTCAAGTTATTCCAGTTTTACTAAAACAACAACTTTGCACGACACTTTACAGCTGCAACGAAAACTCTTCTACGAACTTCGGTCTATGACGACGAAACAGGTACACTACTTAATACTTATAAAAGGCAGCCCTCAAACACGACTTAATTGACTTTGTATTTTACTAGCGTTTTATTAAAATAAAACTATCATAACATTTTCTGTAAAAATAGTCTTCAACTATTTACTTAAAACTCCAACATCTGGATCTCTGGCAGACCGCATACAACAATGTATTTTATTATTGTAGTAAACCACATTATATTTAATTAATCCAAACAGTCTTATTGAAGTATTAATGTATAGAAATTATGAGTTGGGGCCGGAAGTAGAATATATACACTGAGAACTACCTGTATATATGCATATGTCAATAATTAATGAACTTAAAAAACACTTTAAAAATGCTATAAAATATGCCATTCGGGTTTTCAAATAAGCCTATTATAATATTTTTTCATTTTAGTTGACTGGCAATAAAAAAAAAAATTATCAGCTGATCAAAAATGTAATTGTCTATTTATGGATAAATAATTTATTTTCTATTCTAGGATTATCTTTTATTGTTATATATACATATTATTATTTATTATATCAAGAACCACTGACTCACAACCCCAATATTAAGTCCACCCTCAAAATTTTGATCATAATATATAGGTACCTTATTATACTTGTTTAAAGGGCAGTGATTAAGTATAACGTATATCATGTAAGCCTACTGTTAGTATACCCACCACTATAAATATTTAATATAATTCTTTATTAATAAAATAAAAATACAATATAAATTGACGAGGTAATAGTCTGGGTTTGTACATAAATGAAATTCCAAATTTAAAATCTTCATCTGCAATACCCAATACGGCAATACTCAATAGGTATTATACATTACAATAACATAACCTACGTTCAGAAAACAAATAGTTAAATAATTGTTAGGTATCATACCAATGACCAATCTCAGGATTTGTTTGCAGCCCTATTTCATCATAACATAAAAAAGATTAACAGACTCAAAATTGCTTAAAATTGTATAACAGTTATGGGTTGTTACCCTTGACTCAACTTCAGGTACAATGACTAGGCCTCAGAGGTACATTCAGAGGTAACATTCATCTTAGTCCTTAGATAATCGTATTGAGATTCATAGAAAGTCAAATTTTTTTTTTTAGCTACCTACTGGTATAAAACTATGATAGCTCAACAATTATTAAATTATACATAATGGTACATTATACATTACATTATAATATTTTATAATATAACCAGCGCCAGCATCCAATATAAAAGAAATTACAATTTTAATTGCAGCTGTGGATTTTGTGTTAAGTATGGAGTAAATATTAAAAGGAATATTTTTAGTACCTAATACCTATGTTAATTAAAATTGGGTGTTTGGCTTGTAGATCAGCACAGTCAACTTAAATATGGGATAGATCACATCATATTTAAATACTTAAAGTCTTTCTATTCATCAATGTTTTGAAAAAACCTGCTATTTAAGACATTACAATTTCAAAATGATAGGTACTCATATGATTTATTGGTATAAGTTACTTATAGTACATTTTAACTGTTGTAATTATTTCATGTATATTTAAATATTTGTATTATTTAATCATACATATTTGGTACTTAAATTATTTCTATAATTTTAAATATTCTACCAATTGATATTGACATATCGTTTTGGTCTTTAAAGTAAGAACATTAAAAATATAATTGTAATTTTATGTCAGTTCATTAGAAATAGTAATTTTTGTACTCATATTGTAATAAATAATAATGTAATACAACTAATCCATTCGCTTTTGTGGCTGGACCAAATTAAATTTATATTACATTTTAAATTAAAAATGTATTTTTTATAATGTTTGTACAAAGTAAATAAAAAATGTTTGTTCTTAATTTAAGCCTTGCACCAGAAATCATATTAATAAATAATAATATTAAAAAAACAATTCTTGCCATGTTATTAAAATATGATTGGTATACTAATATACATAGGTAGGTACTATTATATTTAAGTATGTTACAAAGTTAAATAATATTATGTACATTCTTACATGGACATAATCAAAATTAAGTCCTCGTTTTAATACTTCAACTTAGACATTTATCATAACTAAATGATTTGAGTTGTTTAGATTTATATCCCAAAGATATTGGGTCAAGAAAGAAGGTCAAATCATCACTTCAGTGTTCATTTCCAATTTCAATTAGGTACTGGTTAAAACATTGTTGTCATCAACATAATTAGTTATGGTACCAAAATGCAATATAATAATATAATTAATACGATAATCTAAAATCTATATTATTACCAAACAAATTGTTTTACAGTTATCATCATTCTGTGGTTTCGAATACTTTTGGCCTGTATAAAATAATAAAAGTCCATAAATGCACTTCCTGATAATATTTAATATTTTAGGTACCTAGTAAATCTACAAGACTATTTTCTAAGGATTTTATCATAGTTTCTCGATAATAAATTATCCTTCTCATTGTTTTCTAAATGATACTAAAAAAAATCTTATTAAATACACACCTCACTCAGAAGGGCACAATAAAATAATGATTAATGGAAAACCAAATACCTCCAATTCAATATTGTAATTGAAATTGTTTTTCACACAAAACTTAGGGTGTTATAACTCAGTGTTAGTGTAAGAATAAGTAAATGCATATATGTAAATGTTGTAGCTTCAATAATTTTCAAATAACGGTAACTAAAACTCAGTATGAATTCTTGATTTTTGTTTATCAAAAACAATATTAACAAACTCAAGTTAGGTTTAACCACCTCACATAGTAAGCGTCCTTAGACAACATAATAATTTGCTGATGAGTTATATTTCAATATTTGTACACATTTCACAATTTTCGTCGTACCTGATCAGAAATAATTTATTTCAATTAATGTGTAGATTCCGATCACGAAAATTGAATAGGTACATAAGTATATTAGGTATTGAACTACAGAACACAGACATTAATTCGATGATAATAATACTGAAACATTATGCAACAAACATAATTTAATAGGTATAGAAAGATGTATATAAATAAATAACGCATACCTAGGTAAGAAAAAAAATTATTTTCAAGGTGTATATATTTTTATGATACCTTTACTAGTTAGGTACTACGCGAATGAAGACAATAAGACATACATTAATCAAATAGGTACCTTTTAAAGGAATATCTTAAATCTTAATCAGTGTTTAACTATAATGTGGATATTGTGGATCCAAATACATTGTGTTTAGTTTTTTTAAATTTAAGCAGCTGTATTTGAATTATAGACGTACGTCGTACAAAATATATAATTACGTCTTAGATTTAAACTATCTATTCCTCCAATGAATTGAACCGTTTCATCCATGACATTATCATACAGTAACTACGTTGTTTTCGTGATTAGTGATTACCTACTTATTGTTTTCCAATTTTGTGGTCATAGGGTCATATTTTGTGTTAGATTGTTATTGATTTTTATTTTCACAATTTTACATACAGATACCTGTACATATTTCTATATTATTGTTGGCAGTTAGTAGTAGACTTCTACATTTTAGTACTTATACTAATTGGTAGTTGAATAGATCTGTCCAGGACTATAATATACCTATTTAAAATTTTGTTTTTTAGCATTTCAAAACTTTTAACGTTCTTTTAAACTTATATTTTTATATTTGATTTTATTGTAAAACAATGTTTAATACAAATACATTTTTTCTATTAGCTCTTATAGCATTTATTTCTACCATAAGATCTGGTAAATATTATGCTGACTATTCTAAGGCTTGTCAAATTTAAGTCGTAGCATCAAACACAATATTAACATTTTTTTTATTTTGTTGTTCAGCCAAAAGTATATTATGTTACCAATGCAACAGTACCGACATCAATGCTCAATTTCTTTGTACTGAGAATATGGAGGATACAGACAAACTGCGTCCACAACCCTGCTCGAGTGTTTACAATGCCGCTTATTGTGTGACACTGATAGGCCGCCATAGAGGTAGGCACCTATGATTTATTATAATTTTTGATCCAAAAATATTATTTGATAGTAATCTTGTTCATTATAGGAGGACTTGGAGTTACACGTTACTGTTCAGCTTATAATTTAGGAAATTACTGCAATTATTTTAAACGGCCAGGTGATGTAATGGAATATCGGACATGTGTGTATACTTGTGAGTCTGATGGCTGCAATGGTCCAAGTGTACCAAAGTTATCAAAATACTTAAAAAGTCTACCCATTTATCAATGGTTAAAAAATCTGTCGTCTTAGACAATAACATTTCAAAAATAATTTAATTAGTAAGTACTGAAATGGTTTATTGGTGTAGGTTACTTACAGTACATTCTACCTGTTATAATTATAATTTATAAATAATTATTACATGTATATTTTTATAATTTAATCATAGGTATTCGGTACTTAAATAATTTCCATGATTTTAAATATTTTATCTATTGATATTGACATCTTTTTTTGGCCTTTAAAGTAAGAACATATATTTGTGAAAAACCAACATTGCTTACATTTTGTACAATCTGAACAAATATATATTACACATTATAATAATTAGTCAAATCCACTGAATAAAATGTATCTTCATTTTTTTTTAAATAATCTTTTAATGTTCATCAATAACACCTCTATACAATTACAAATTATATACAAACTCACAAGTACATTTATTTTATATTAAATTTTCTCTATAAGGAATCTCAAATCATATTAATACTAATAATATATTGTTAAATTATTATAACACATATTTGGTCGTTATGGCCTATAATAATAGTTCATTTATTTATGTGTTCAAATTAAAATAAGGTAAAATAAATTGTTGTAATTTTATATCAGTTCATTAGAAATAATAACTACTTGTATATGCGTATTGTAATGAACTATATTAATGTAATACAACCAATACATCCAATTTTGTGACTGGACCAAATTAATTAAATATTTCAGTTGAAATCAATCTTGCATTTTTTTTTTTTTTTTACTGTTTGTATCAGTATCATCAAATTTAATTATATGATTTGTTTATCAATTAAAATGTACATTTGTATCTATCTTAAACTATTTTTTGACATTCTAAAGAGTTCAAGAACCTCTTATCTAATTGTAATTTAAAGTGTTTTTCATAAAATCTTAAGCTGTTATAACTCAGTGTTAGTAAGAATAAGTAAAAGCATAATACGTTGTAGTTTCAATAATTTTTGAAAAATGGTAACTAAAATTTAATATAAATTCTTGATTATTGTTTATCTAAAAAAAAATACTTAACAAACTCAAGTCAGGTTCAACCACCTCTTATAATTTAAGTCATACAATCTATACCTAGACGTATAATAGGGAGGGGTGGGTATTTAACCCAGACTAGCCCCCCTGTTAAGCTCCCTTCCTGTACATTTTTTAGTTACATTTTTAGAATATAATATGTTGCGTTGCAGAAACAACAGGCTTTAGCTCCACTATATAAATTCATCACTTTACGTCTTTGGTTATCAAACATAAGTGTCTTAAAGTTTTTGTTATTTATCCTCATACATCATGTTTTTATTATTAGGTAGGTATTTGGCTATTATATTTTATAGGTAACTATGTAAATTGATCATCTGTTAGTCTTGAATTATGATAGAAATAAAATAAGTACAATTACTATTATGATGTTATTACTTCAACCTATTAAATAATTTTCTTGAAGTTTATTCAAAAATCGTTTTCAGATACCTATTTAATTTTTATATTCTTGAACGATAAAAAAAAAATTTTAAATGTCATCTTAACTTAAGAAAATTATATTTGATCCACCCATATATATTATTGTATACTATACTATATGTGTACTATAGACATATGACATTATTCGTATCAAAATGAATCCAGTTGAAGAATATTCAAACAATGTCGGTAGCTCATTCCCTGGGAATAGTTCTCGGTACATTGATGAAAATCAGGATGTAAATAATATTATCGAATTCAGCCGGCCTTCGTACTGCATTAAATGTAAAATTATGACTGGCCACAATACACCACCTCGTTTAATCGTGATAAAAAATGGGCGTCCTGCAATGTCATCTTTTTGTTGGACATGTAGGTCAAGAAAGATGCGACTCGTATCTTACAAACTGTATTGGAGCAAAACGGGAAGAAGGTTGTGTATTATTGTTTATATGTACTGATTTACTTTATAATATATTTATATGTAAATGGTATTTATATAATTTTCAAAAATAGGATTATGTTTAAGAATGGAAGAAAAAAAAAGAAGAGTAAATATAAAAGACGTCTTTAAACAAATAAATGCTATTAACAGAGAAAATTATGCCATAACAGTGGAGTCTTAGGTAAAATTTAAAATCAAATAAACATCTAAGTTCCTTGCAAGTACAGTTATTTCCTTCTTAATTCATAACAATTAACAATTAACTAACTTGGGTGTTCTATGCATTGAGGCATTAAGCTATACTTTAATAACTTAAGTACCTAACTATATTTTTCATTTAAAAAATAATTTTTGTGTAGATACTAAAATCGACTTATATATTTTTTCTTATTTTTTTCACGTAATTGAATTTCAAATAAAATATATTATAATCTAAACAGAAAACTTATTTGATTTTAAATACAAATAAATACCACCAGAAAGTATTAATATTTTGTCCTAGTAAATTTTCAAAATTATTTAAAATACGCACCTATTTGAATACTTGAATAATATTTGAATTCTTTTACCAAAAATATATACTTTGGTGCTTACTTAAAAAAACTGTAATATTATAAAATTATTATATAATGCGGGCGACTAGTTTTTCGTTACAAAACTGTCGACGTGTTCCGATACAAAGGCGTGGTCTGGCCACGGACGTGTGGTGACACGGTGCAGAAGTGAAGTAGGTATAATTACTCCCTGTAGTGCGATCGTCAAATGTTTCGATCATTAATGCACTTATATGCACTCTTTCGTGCAGTTGAAGTCATCAATTATAATACCGCATAATACGTATATAGACGCCAGTTGGCCGTGACCGAGTGCTGCACAAGGGGACTATGATTAATCGTATCGGCCGCGGTGCATGTATCTCCCGTCAAAACGTCACCGCCAGACAGACGGGCCATGGGCCCGTATGAAAATTTAAATTAAAAATGTTTCAATGAACAACTGTCGAGTGTCATACTCATAGACTTCGAGGCGGGCACAGTGTGTTAACTTACCCTTAATCGCGGCTTTTGGTTAGGAAATATTATTTTATTTTTTTGCTAACCGTCCATAAAATTGTGGCCTAGAGTCAATACACCAAAAGTAAGAAATTTTTAAGTATAAGGTGTGATCCATTTAACGAGTAAGACACTCTTCATTTCAGAAAAAACAAACGTTTTTGAAAATAGTTCTTTTACATAATTTTATATCAGCTTAAAAAGTTCATAACGACACAACATTTTTATCAACTTAAAATGATGCAAAACAAATATTTAAAATATTTAAAAATTCACTAAAATTCTAACAAATTAAATTTTAAAGTGACAAAGACTCAAGAAGTAGATAACTAGTTGGTATTTATTACTAAAAACTAAACAGTTTACAATACTTACAGGTTGTATTATGTTCCTATATTATAATTTATAATCATCGTTATATTTGATTATTATTATACTAATTTTATAAAATGATTGCTTATTTTTAATTAATATCTTTAATTTCAATTATATTACAGTAAAATATGAGAAGTGTGATTTATCATACACATGATGAAAAAAATGATATGCATGATAAATAATAATAGTTCATAAATATTCATAAATACATAGGTATCTACACACACATTTGATTAACTAAATGTAGGTATTAACTTACTAGTCTAGACTCTTTATTTGTCTGTAATATTTTGTTCACGCCGATAAGAATTTTTAATGAATATACTCACAACATATTTCAGACTGCTCGTTTCAATATTTTCGTTGTAAACAATCATATTTTTAACAAAACGTTATATGTCCTTATACTCAATACCTATATTACTTGCACCGATGAAAACTTTTTAATCACTGCGTATTTACTGTTGTACTGGTGACAAAGTTATTACTATTCGTATTAAGACTCAAGATCCATAATAATATTATGGTTACATAATATGAGTCGCGATACGACATTACGAACGTCCGCTTATTTCTAGTCTCAAAATCAACTGCACAAGCACAACCGCTTTTTAAACTGTGCCTAGCTCAATACATAACAAGGAGACGCTTTATTGAATTAAATAACATAATTTTGGTATTGATTTTGAAAAAGTTACCTAATTAAATAGAAAACTTTGTTTGAGTAAAAAATTACTCAAATCTTCACCGATGTCTTGCACTTAATTGAAGTCTAGTTTCCTGTTACATGCACATTATTCATGTATTTGTTTTGCTATTTCCAAAGGATGCTAACAATCTATAGACTGACAGTTGGAAATACTTCAACAATCTTATTCTAGTAAGAGAATAAACTACACTATAATATTAATTTTGGTTTTTGTTACAATATTTTATTTAAAAAAAAAAAACAAAAACAAAAAAACAGATGTAAAAATGTATGTTTTTTTAATTTTCTAAAGCTACACATATATTGTGTTCTCGTAAAATAGTTCTATTTAAAAATCAGTTTAAATTATTTAAAACAACAAGGAGAAAAACATGATCGAAAAAACTCAACTAAAACAACATTTCGGATTTCTCCTTTCATCACACAACGTAATATTATTATAATAGTTGTTTGAAACAATAATTTGTACAAATGTTAATCTACAGCGTAATTCATTTTTCTAATTCTAAATTTGAAGTTAAAAAAAAAAAAACATTTAATAATATCTTGTATTCTAAAAGCCGTTCATTTCGTATAGCGACAAACACTCGAATAAACATAATAATAAATTAATTATTATACTATAATTATAATAATTGTAAATAAACGCCTTTTTCGCTACAACACACGATTTACCAATGTTCGTTATGGTGAACTGTATTTTATAAATATATAATATAATAATTGTAATAAAAGATAATAGGTAACAAAATCAATATTTTTTGGTACCTATATGGCCATTATTGTGTGCGAACTCTATCAATTAAAAGAAACACATTGTCTATATTATACATAGGTAATATAATATGCGAGTATGTTAACTGTGTAAATAGCGATCATATTGTTATTTTTAAAATTTATCTTAATGTATAATAACACTGTTAGATGAAAAAAAAAAGGTGAGCTCAACGTTAGGCGCCTTAGGTGTCATTAAGAATAATACATAATTGTTAATCACTAAGGTGAGCAAAATTATAGTGTGTGTAGGTAAATAAGACGTAAATGTGCCCTAATAAGTGCATCAAACTCATGAAATCGATCAAATTTACACGACGCCGCTTGTGACGACTGAACATTTTTTTAAATTAGTTACAATAATGGATAAAACAAAAACAACACCGACGGAAACGAGATTAACGAATGCTTAGATCTATTGTTTAAAGAATTAGGGTCGATACCAAATAGAATAAAAACAAGGGATTCAAATTCAAAATATTTACTGCAACATTTGTAATAGTTTCCCAGCATCCCGCTCTGGCACGACCGATTATACTGTTTCGCAAATTATTTCTGTCTCGTCTTTGATCACTCCATCGTCATGTTTGCAGATGTATTGGATAGGTACATTATAATAACAATATTATGTTAAAATTGGTTTACAATATCTCGCTGAAGTCTTTGTGCAGAGAGACAGTGTACTCGACGACGGCCAACGTCCGTTTGTCTTCCGGTGACCTGCATGACGCCTGTAAATCAAAACTAGACTTTGCAATGTCCACAGAGTTACACATTTGTATGTCCTAATTCCTAAGTAGGTGGCAAATATAAGGGGGTTGCGGGCATACAATTTGACTATGACCTGTGACTATGAAAAATACTTAATTTACATTCACGACTTTCTAAATCATTACGAACGATATTTTCCATTTCAGAAAACTGACCTGCTAGTATTTATTATGATCATAAATGATCATGTTATATAATATGTATAGGTACATAGATACAAGATTTTAATAAGTTTATTAGTTTCAAAATATTAAATCATAACATGAATTGTTTAAATATGTATCAATAATTTGAAAGTTTTTATATGCATATCATATTATCGGACCATAAATCATTTTAAATAACATTTTTAAACCTTGTATCTGTATTCTAAGAAACAATAATATAGAAAAATGAGTTATTTTTCGTGGCCACTACCCACACACGATGTGTTATCGTTGTATGCAGTTGGAGTGGTTAGTCTCACACTGCAAAATTTATAAGTCAACGATCGCAAATCGCAATGTACATGTAGGAACGGGTATCAAACAGGCAATAACTTATGAGTCCAGATAAAACATATGTAATACACTGCAGACTATTGCGATGAGCTAGTATTTGAGGAAAACCAAAAATAATGGCCTATATTACACATAAACATGACATGGATCAACCATTTTTATGCACGAAATAATTTTTTTAACACAATCGGCAACGTCGCAAATTAGTTCTGTGCGGAATCGCGTGAATGAAAAGGTACAGCGGAATTCTGAATCTCCGGTTTTAATGTAGGTACCTACATATTTTCTTGTACGTTAAATCGAACATCATGCAGTATGCACCAACGTAAATGCGAGGTGGGAGTAAATTACCTTCAAACGTTCGTACGACCACGGCTTGTACCGGACGATTACGGTGACCGATTCCGAGTCTTCGGAAACTGAATACTTGTCGGTCTGCCAATCGTACGACGTGTCCGACGGATTCCACCGAGTGCCGTTCAGATTCCACAAACTGTTGTACGGGTCCGACGGACAAGTCGTCGACACGGACATGCTGGTCGGACAACCGTTCAGGCTGCCTTTGCTAATGCTGAAACGCGTTGGTACAAACCGTTATTGATCATTACTATTATTCCTATTATACTTGTTAGTCCTATACGTTACAATAGTAGTATAACATCATACACGCCATAGTAAAGCCAATTTATAGTCCAAGGGCTGTATGAGTGAGTGGTGGTATTAAGCTTGCTTAGGTTGGAACTATTCTATTATTGTTATGATATAGTAATTTGTGTACGTGTATAGTGAAATACGAGTATACTCGATATTACAGGCTGACGGACTATCTCAGCTCAAAAACGTTAATCATATTATGCAATGATTTATCGTTGAATTCAAATTGAACATAACATTCATTACCTACTCAATGACGAGATACACTCCACAACAACCTATTGAATAGTGGTTATCTAACTGTTCATTTTTTTTCTTATAATAAATAAATAATTTAAATTTTGTTTTTTTTTTTTGCAACTTTTTAGTTAATTACTTAGGTTTTTTAGGTGAAACTTGTTTTCGCAGATAGGCAACTATAAAAAAAATAATGTAACGTTTACCTATAACGAAAACCAACGAACGATCACAGCAAACAAATCGGTGCAACAAATTCAAAATATGGCAGTAGGTACCAAGTAAAAAAAAAATAGGATGGTACTAGGGAAAATCATTCTTAATGTATAGCCATGACGGTGCGGAATTTTATGGTGGCGATGAAAATTAATATAGGTACTATGATCAGGAGTAGGAATTTCGACTTAAACTTATCATCAACAGCTCAATCGGTGCCACTCAAGAATTTATTACAGAAAACTTTCAGTATGCATATAAATAATGATTCAGCAATACTGACTACGAAATCGGGCACAATAATAATCGACGCTGTCTTTACACGGAATCTCAATAATATTCAATCAAAAAAAACCACATATCGTATTTTCATCATTATAATTCATAAGCTTCTAATAACTATGGTACGAATCGGGCCAACTAAAATTCAAGTAATGGAAGTCTAAAAAATATAATTTTTTAATTTTAATTTATTAATATTCTAAATATATACAATAAGTTATTGTTGTACAGGTATTTAACAGGTTATGGTTCTAACAAATCAAATTAAAATTTTTTTTCAATAATAATACTATGTTTTTTAAAAACTGAAAATTTTCTTTTTTTCTCGAAATTTCACTTCCTACGTGTGGAGTGCATATACGCATGACGCCACATTTTTATTTTATTTATACCTTTTAAAGAGTGTTCTGTGGTAAATGCCAATACAAACTTTATATTTTCAAATAAGAATCATTACTTTTTCTGCGAATTGAACAAGTGGTTTTTAAATTTTTGAATTTTTCGATAGATCACAATTATTTCTATATTATGTAAATTTTATTTTGGTTTTAATTGTGGCACTATTAATATGAACACATTATGAATATAATTATAAATGGGTAACTATTATTTTTTGTCCGGCGCTTTGGCTGTTGCTAAACCATAATACAATAACGACACATTTGTTAGGGACGAAAGTTACCTGTCAATCTGTCATAAGTAAATGTAAAAATAAAATGTTAACAGTGATTGGGAGCAGTGTACACGAGTCTCATCTTATTAGCTGCTATATAATATTGGATTTTATTATTAATATCGATATTGTTTTCAGGATTCGTCCACATAATTGTATTGTCGTACATATATATTGGGTATAATATGGTTACCAATACAGTGTTTTCTATTTTCTCAAAGTCCTATACAGAAAAACAGGAAGTTATATGTACCGACTACTTTATATGGGTTATAGGTATCTATGTATAATGACGTATAAGTGTGCAACGTATAGAACGTAATATAATTTATATTTTGTACTACACTTGCCGATAAGACACGCTGATAAAATAGTCGGTAAGTTGTTTGTTGACCGGAAGTTGGAACCCGTACACGAACAGCGACTTGTCGCTACATTGTTGGAGCAGTTCCGACCGTCCACACTCGTCCGTCACGTTGGTTTCCGCCGTAAAGTTGCTGTAACTCCCATACACGCCAATCGTGACGTCCTTGTACACGATGTCTAAACAATGTATATATTTTTATAGACTAAAAGTTAAAACGGTCCAGTCAGGGAAACGGCCGTATACGGCGGTGCTCACAATCACAACATCACGCCAAAATGTTTCCCCCCCCCCCCAATAGTGCGTTCTGGGGGGAGGTTAATAGTTATATTCCCTTCCCACTGTCTGATATATCCCACTATTCGTGTCTTTGGTATTATCACCACAATGACTTGACGCCTATGTATTATTATAGTTATGACATTCCATCCGTTGAAAAATCCTGCAGGACACTCAACTGCCACCCACAACAACTTTTTGAAAAAAAATTGAACACAGAAAAGTATTGATTCGCGTTAATACACATATCCAACCGACAACAATTTTGTTCCGATTCCTCACTGCAGCAATTTATATTAGTAACTATGTGATTTGAATGTTATTCAATAATCGCATCGATATAAAAGCTTAAATTATACAAAGTCTCGGATAGTCCGATCCGCCGTGAGTGCAGTGGCGTCCTCCTGGACGCCACACAAATTCCAAAAAAAATAAAAATAAATGTAATTTCCTATGACTCTATAAAAGATCTCTATTTATACTACAAACTTGTTCAGAAAACTAATTTAACTTACAAGTGAAGTGCCTCATTGGTAAAACATTATATTTTAAACCAAAGTCCCCCTCAAGGACTTAAGTCGTCAAAAATCTTATAAATAATTGGCCAAACAATACCCTGCGTGAATGCACTGGTTAAACTGCCACTTCATATATACATGAATGGCAGGCTACTATTTGTATTAATGCATAATTGTGTATTCTTAATAATAATAATAATAAAACGTAATTTATTAGACAACGAAAATATACGTACCAATTACGCGATCAATTTTGACGATAAAACTAATGAATTCGTCGTCGTTTTTGCCATCTTCCTTAATTTTATCGGAGATTTTATTCATTTTCGTTTTGATCTTGTCGTACTATAATCAACACAAATACCATGTTTTAATCATTGAACTTCGAACGGACCACATTCTGAATACGTCAAACGCATATGCCTAAATATGTTTCCAAATCTAGAGGCGGGGGAGGGGCTGGAAATATCAATTAACTCATCGTTAAGTCGTGAACTTGTGAATAATACTACAAGAACATAATTTATTATACAGACGAGGTTGAGTTCAGACATTTTTGGGTGGCTTTTGGTTGTTTTGAGGGCTAAGCCCCCGATTTACGCATACGATCTGATGTTTATAATTGGTGGAAATCGAGGGCGGGGAACCCTATTAATTATATATACGATGATTTTATCCTTCAAGCCGGGCACGGTCAGCAATGGCCAATTCACAGTCGTTGACCATTGCCGAGGATAGATGAACTATACTGCAGTAGGTGTATTATAGGTGCAAATAAATTAGACAGTCCACTTTTTTCTTTACAAAAAGTGTCAATTTGCTTTCAGTGCTATCGTTTATAGGCATATTATCATACTTCACAACTCCTGCTGTTGGTTACAAGTCGCCTAAGCCGCATGCAGGTCAAATGTTTGTCTTTGTCGAAAAACCCGTCTATTTCCAACGGTAGTTGACCGGGGTCTTTCGCCTGAACAACACTCTCATGAGTCTGAATTGTATTTATATTCAACGGTTTAACGATACTGTTGGGGAATGAAAAAAAAATTTATTAAAGTAAATTATTATTTGTATTTACGTTACCTGTAGCTAATAATAGTTGCAATAAATAATATTATTTAAACATACATGTCTAATATACATTCGGTTGAATGCAATTTTATTTTAATGAATATATTATTTAATGTTGTGTATAGTTCATGCAAATGTTCACAAACTTTTATTGATACAGTCGTTGTGAGTAAAAGAGATAAAATAATAAAAATACTTAAGAATCGAGTACTCACAGCTCATGTTCGCTTGTGAACGTGAGTTGATTTCTGTAATGGTGCTCCATAAAAAATAGCCCGGTTATGAAAACCAAACTGAAAATCGCGGTATTATCAATTGGTAAATTATCGAGCTAGATCACATGGTGTTCTATTCAAATCAAATTAAAAGTGTGCTTACCAACTTGCGATAACCACAGTTAGAGATATAATGGAAATTTGCACAAATTTCCCACAGTTAACATCACTCGAACTCGTAGGTTTTAACAGTTTACGTTTTTCAACGGTGGAATTGTAATCGTTGTGCTTGCTAGAATAGGTCGTTGCTAAAATGAAAACAAATAATAAGCAAACACCAAAAAAAAAACGTCTTATATAATATAATATGTGCAGTGTACACGAATGACTGTTCTGTATAACAAAAAATGTTTTTTATTCGTAAATACAATTTTTGATCAAATATGCCTATCACATTAACGTGATATTTTGTGATATGTTTACATATTGTATTAAGAATAGCTGATCCTACAAAATGTTGGCCGTGACAAATTAAATGCCCTTAGATTAACCCCTGCTTAATCTCCGTTAAATGTAAAGTGCACATATTTTGGTTATTTGGGTTTATGTTTAGGTCTAAAATTATATCCAACCATAATGACTATTTCATTTTCTGTAACTAATGGCGACTATATACAAACAAAAAACACACTCTTTTTTTTTGTCAGCCAACAAATCCCTGTAAATTTCTTTGAAATTTAAATTTTTTTGAAATGTGTAAATCCTTGGGTGGATACAGACACATATGTACCAAATTTGAGAACCAAGAGTGTGATAGACTTACATGGATCACTTACACACACACACACACACACACACACACACATATTTAATATATATAAAAGATAAATAATATAAACGATGAAAAATGTTAAGATTCATAAACCAATACAAAAACCTAGATGCGTTTAACATTAATTGTGAACATTATTATATTATTTAACTATAATAGGGAATAAAGAGGTATGTTTTTTGTCTTGTTGATTAGTTTTAAATTAAAAAATAAACCCACCAGGTGATTGGGTAAGGAGGAGTTCTGGAGCCAATTAGTTACGATAATATGCTCATTTCAATGTTAAATATTATGCACCAAGATAATTTTGGGCTCGTGATGGATATATCGATACTTACTGGTTAAATCCGATAGTGCTATACCCGGATGATTGTCTGCTAACAGCAAACAGCGCTTGTGGTCCTGTTCCAACTCACTTATTCTAGCTTCCAAATGGGTGGTGATCTTGCTCAGTTCTTTTACGGCTCCTACATTCTCCATGAAAATCCGATCCTGCGCGTGAAAAAAATATGATTAGTACCTATAATGTGTTGTAAAGTATGAGGATTGCGTTTAATCATATATACGAGCGAATGATATACGGTCCAGTGACGTTCCCACAAGTCGTTTTAAAAATATACTAAACCTTCGAGTGTATGACCATGGATATTTGATATTTTAGTGATGGTTATTAGGCGAAGTGTTAACAGCTAATTAATAAATTGCAATTTTTTTCTTAAAACCTGTACCAGATTTGTATACATATATTAATAAATTAAATCAGTTGACAGGGAGAATAATATGCCCTTAAATAATCCAGATGATTCGTCCTATTATTTCCGGTACTCCATAATAATTTCAAAGTAGATCCACTCTGAGGAGTTTCGAACTTTACCGTCAGTTGAGTTAAAAAGACTCATCTTGCGTTAACGAGTAATTTTCAACCCTTACGTAGGTACTTCACACTCAAGTGATTTTTGAATAAAAAAATGGTTACGTGCTATTTTCAATGATGCTATTTCATATATGCACGTTGTTTCGGAAATTTTAATTTGACCTTTGAGCTATCATTTAAAATAAGGGTTATTAGTTTTACCTTTGAGTTCTGACTGATCTTATAGGTACCAATTTAATAAAATTCAAAAATTATAAAAATGTATGCATAATAAATATTAATATGTAGTTAATGATTCATTAATGAGATACATTTGTATTCAATCGTCACTAAGTTGTCGTCCGTAAATAAATGTAGGATATAATTACAATGTATTGTCAGTATTGTGAATAAAAAAAACATAGGTAATAATAATTATTATTTTAAAAATAATTCAGTAAGTTAATATTTTTAACACATATTAACACCTTATAACAAATAGTTATGTTTCAAATATGTACCTTTAAAATATATTGTTCTAATAGTTATATTATACTTATATATTTTATGTCTGAGTAACTTTTTATCTACTCACTTTTGTAATTTTGTTTTTTCGTGCAGTAGTACAAATTAAGAATCGATTTTATATGTACATTGTATACTTGCAACCACATAATACTATGCATAGCATTATCAAAAATTACCTTTAGTACCTAATTATCTAATGTATAAAGGAAATTAGGAAAAACAATCAGTTGTGTTTAACGAAATTTATTGTTTTATACTCTATCCCCATAGAGTTATAGGTAGCCTATTGATTGTTCTGTGGCAATTCGCTAAATTCCTAATTCCAACGAGAAGGAAGGGCCACAGTTTAAGAACCGCTATTATCGTGAGTACCAAGTGATGGTAAATTTCGTTCCCGCTTACTGTTCTTCAAAAACAAGTTCACAATATGCTTCGTCTATGCAATTTATGGGCACCTATAAATAATTATGCTTGCAGTCTGCTCAGATTCTTATTATTTTGGTAATTTTTTAATTTTCTATTGTTAAGCTGGCTTTTTAATCTTGGGCTACAATGTTTGGCTACAGCGATGATTAGAAACTTTATTTTCAATATTCAAGAAAACTTACAGTATCATCTATACCTACTAGATTACCTCGTATTAAAATCGTTATAATTACAAAGTGTTTTAAAAAAAATCGTCGACGACCCCGCGGTTTTGTCTTTAGTCGAAAATGGTACTGTCTGAAAAAACACGACGCAGTTGAGAAAAACAGATGTAGAGAACGTATGCTGCTCATAATAATATTATTATGCGGTGTACGATATGGGAAGGCCACTGGCATATTATTAAAGTAATATTGTTGTAATCTAATCGACTATAGCGCACTTTGTTCACGACCAAAAAGTCGTCGTACACTATTCCGTTGGGCAGTGCTATGCCACCTGCGTTGGTGACGGCTTCTGGTAGAACGGCTTGCACCTCCTGTGCTATGATCCCGGTGTCAGCTTCCTTCAGAGACAACCCGAATAGCGATGAAAATTCCGGCTTGTAGCTAAAATGAACTACGTTTATTTTCTGCACGTTCCGCAGCTGCTCGCTTGTGTCACACTGTTTAAAACATGAATGAATCATATATTATATAAATATGATTAAACCTCGGATCCGTCAAAATGGATTATTATAGGTACCAACGTGGTTTGCGCAGGTATAATATACGCGGTATACTTTCCTGGTTGATCTATGATAAATTTTAAGAAGGCGTCATACCCTCGTGCGTGGCCTCTGTATTGCACACATGGGAAACCTACGCGTAACTATTCCGGATTTCCGCACTATCTACGGTTTATTTATATTTAATTTTTTTTATGGTTTATAGCGTAGAGCAAATTTACTTATCGTCGAATTTGTACAAAAGAAAATATAAACTGTGCTCGAGCAATGAGATTTTTTTCTTATTTTAATTTTTAAACTAGTTGTCAACATATATTTTAATTATTTTATTACCTACTTTCATGACTAAATTTTAAATAAAAATATGAAAATAAAACTCCGCTGGATCACGGTTTATATTCCTTACTTCAAATTCAATAATACGTAAATGTAATCTAATGTTAACACTATAAACCAACCGAAGTAAGAATGTGGTGAGTGTGTTAGTCGTTAGACAGAGACATCAAAATATTATGCCGGTACGAGTTTACTGCGGCATTATTCGTTTCGTCACGTTGTGATTAAAATAATTTAACTTCTAAACTACCTTATTCTTTACATAATAATATATTCTAGCATATTGTCTTAAATTATTAGAGGCAGTTATTACAATAATATTTTAATGGCACAATAAATTTGTTGGTGCATGCTCTATTTTTTCATACGAAATCCTAAATATGTAAAATATAGTTTGACAAAATTCATATAAATATATAAATATATATCAAATACCTTATTTTTTTTTGGACAGAAAAATACTCAAACTTAAATTATTCAAGAAAAAATATAGGTACCTAATTTTTCTTAAAAAAAATTTTTTTACATATTTTTATTCTAATTGTCATAGACATATCGTATAATTGACTTTTCATGAAATTTAAATGATTTTCCACACTTCACAAAATACAAAAATATGTTAGAAAATTGTTATTTTTCATTAAATGGTTACCTAATCCAACATAACGTTGAATAATTGTCATCAAAATGTGGCAACTCACTTTGTGTAATAGCTGTGGTCATAATTCATTATCTTGCTTTAAAAAAATATAAGCATACAATCGTACACCTACCTATAATATAATTAACTCTTTTATCTATTTTTTGGTTATGGCAAAATGATTATGCTGATTTCAAGTGACTTAAACAATTATTATCGACTTTAATTTACCAAGAAATATCAACTTAAACTGATGCGTAAAATCGTTTAATTGTGTTAGATAATAGGTATGTCTTAAGCAATAATTTAATATTAATTAATACTTAATAATAGTTTTGTGTAGTAATATAACATTTACATGTATTATTCCGTACACAATTCACAAAGTGGATGACCGCATTGTGAATGCAATTACACAATGTCAATTTGGACTGACTATTTCGTGAAATATTTTTGTATTTCTCGAAGTGTGAAAAAGCCTTTCCATTTCATGAAGTTGACAAATGTTTATGGAGTGGCTATACGGAATAGGAATAATTATACATCATAACTTCACTCTAATACACATTATAATATTATAAAATAAAATTGTAAAAATTATTCCTCTATAAAAATAAATATTTTTAATTTACACTCATTTCATAAACTATGTATTATATTTTCCCTTTCAATCTCAGCCCTAGGATATCAATATCGTACATACCTATCCAAGTACCTATCATACCAATAGATACCTTTGCCCAGTCCAGTCTTATCGCTTTTCTATATCAAAAACGGAAATAAGCTGTACATTTTGTAATCTATTTCACGATTTGGTACTGAAGACCAACTCATACATGGAATATAATATAAATTATAATGTCTGCTTAATAATAGTAATAAGTTCTTAAAATTACTCATACCTGCCTGGAATATTAACGAATTTTAGGCTAATGGCTACTGTAAATAGTTGAATACACAAAACACATTATTTATACTCATACTATTATAGCAGTACCTATATAATATATTATAATACTATAATACTATAATTTAAGAACTAAGTTATCCTAATAGCTTCTACGAATCAGCCATGACGAATCAATTCACAAGATCGAGTTTAATTTGCTATTATTTTTCGGTTTAATATGAACTAGACTAAACCAAACTAGCTTATGTTATTTTTATTGATATTTCTAAAATTTTAAAAATAGGAGGTCCCTTTCGAGGTACAGTATTATGATACCGTCACTTGAAGTCCTTATAACTTCTATGATTCACATTATATATATCGAACTGATCGACCCCCCCCCACCCTCAAAAAAAAAATAATTTGATATGCTACTTGTCCCCGCAGGGTTTGAAACTCACTTTTTGTATGTGTTGTTTGATCCTGATGTCCGACGGTTGGATAATGTGTCCCGTGAGCTTGACGTTTCCGTGGACGACCAGCGCCTCGTCCGGCCGGTCGGTGTTGATGCCCACCTTGCCGGTGTGGACAATCGACTCTGGCGTGGTGCCCCGCTGCCAGCACAGTTCCGCGTCGCTCTCGAACTGACCCGGATTCGAAGCCTTTTGGTGCGAGAAAGAAAACAAGAAAAAAAATGCCACTGGCCGCCGTACACGTACATTTCGAGAGGCCATTTTCCCGTCGCGGCGGGTTGTAAGCAACCATAGACCTTATACTACTGGACAAGTAAAATGTCTACAGCATTACGGGTGGCAGTAAAACATCTCGATGTCTCGATGACGAAATATATTTATTGCATAACATGTTTGTATATCTATCGTACACAATAATCTGTATATCTCATCGCACTACCTTGCACTACCATACACGCGAGTAACTCAGTAACCGAAATGGGCCCTATATTTTTTGCGCTTTACATACACTCATCGCTTAATGTCTAGTAGTATAAGGTCTATGTAAGCGACATACAATATTATAATCAGTCTATCATAATTACTTGGATTACCCTGACAATTATCCGTTCGGACGCGTACGAGACGATCGGATAGTCGTGGTCGTTGATGCAGTGCGCGTGCAGACCCACCACCAGGTAAAAATACCTCTGGTCCGGATTCGGTTTTCCTTTTTTCCTCATGTTATTGCACGTGGTCTCGCTGAAATGCAATCTGCCCACCGTCACCTTGGACACTTGTTCTTCGCGCAAGTCTAGCCTATTAAAATAAACACACAAACATTAGTCACGGTATTACAAGATTATTATATTAATCTGCCTGCAATGAGCGCGATAGGTAGACGTAAATAAATTATCCAGCCCGTGGACAAGGCTTAAAGTGGGAAAAATTCCAGGGGGGGGGGGGCTAATGTCTCCATATAGTTTTAAGCGTTCCATTTATAATTTTATGTTGAATGTGTCTTATGTATATTTAATGTACAAATAGTGATTGTGTATTTGTGTAAGCATACTCATCCCACTTTCAACCCTGAATAATGTTCAAATTCCTAATTTATTTCATATACAATTTAAATCACAAATAATACTATATTTTTAAAGGAGACACTATTTAATCCCCGTCAGATGTAGGGGGCTAAATCCCTTGCTCCCCCCCATTTCACCCCTGTCCATGGAGGCCGGGGGGGGGGGGGGGGTAGAAGGCTACAAACATTTTAAAAACCTCTTCAGAAATAAACGAAAATATATACAAAGACAAGTAACTAGTACATTGTAATAATGAATAATATAGTAGTATACAGAGCAAAACAATAAAATACATTGGGTATTATCTATTGACAGAAGTTAAAATTTCGACTCACATCATACTCTTAACATTATTATTACTTACAAGTTATAAGTATATTACAAGTAGGTCCTTGGGACTTCGATGATACGAGACTAAACGTTGTTTGTACTTACAAGACTGGATGAAACGCTTTTTTGCTTCTGTCACTCTGAGACTGCTCTACTTTAATTGTTTGACCAGGCGATTCTACCTTAACACCATAAAAGTGTAAATGGAAACTTCCAACTTTATGAATACCTTCCGAGGTTCTCACGAATTGTGCGTCGCCTTGCAGTTGTGTGTGACATGTAATCTGACCAGTAAATTTGTGTTTCAGTTTAAAACTGTTCCTAAAAAAAAAACTGTTTAAAAAATAATATTCACCTGAAAATGATTTTTCTTTTGACACACAAATGCTTCGTCAACGTTGGAAAAATTAAAGCCTTTATCTGCATCCACTCTATAATGTGGTACTGGCCTAAAATATATTTCAAACATATAGATATTACATTTTTTTTTAAAACAAAATGATACATTTTCTAGGTTTTTAAAGTAATAAATAACTATATAAATGCAGACGTACATAAAACAGTACATTTCTACAGAAAACAATATTAATTGAAAATAATATGTAATATGATATTAACAATCGTACAGATTAATATGCATTGCATATTAAATACGTACAGTTCTTTTAAAGAGTGATCACATAGCGTGTTCCATGACGATTCTTGGAATGGTTGGAAGCGGATACACTGAAAACTCGTGTCGTTATACAAACCCGATTCGCAGCTGTCCTGATACGTGTAACTGTCTTCGCTACAAACCGATCTTCCCGACGGCGACACATGGGTTACGGGTTTTTTCACGCAATTTTCTAAACATAACGTGAACATAAGTTGCGAACGTCGTGGATACCTATAGTGGCTTATTTTGATATCCAAGTCGACTGACCACAGGCGATGCCTAAATCATATTATTGTTAAGATGTTTACCATTTTCTTTTTTGACACGGACGTTGCTACCACCGGTACTTCCTCCAATAATGTCAGTACAAAGTTTTCGCTTCTTTTCCGTCACAGTTACGTTTAACAAGTCCGTGTATTCAGGTTCGGGAATTTCTATTTCCCTTGCGTTAGGCGGCATTTGATTAAAATCTAAAACCGTCAACAATGACAAACGAGGGCTTTGTAACGGAAACGTAAATACTTATTTGGTCAAGTTAGGTTAGCGTTAGGGCATTAGGCATCAACAAATAGCTCAGATTGAAAACCTTCGACTTTCAACTATATAATAATTAAGCTGTACCAACCTAAGTGTGTCACGTGAGACGATGATCCCTGTTGGTTTATCAACAAAGGTTGGACTGACAACGGGTGTGGAATTTTAGTGGTTACTGGCTGTTTCTGATAGAGCCCAGTGGTTCCGGGGTTCATCGGTATTTGACCCTTGTTGGCTGATATGAGACATTGCAAGTTCGGCGTTCTTCGATCTAGAAATTAAAAACAACCCGAAAATTCAACAGTTTTCGGAAACAAGATAATTGCCAATGACAAGAGGATAAAATTAAATAAAATTGTCTTACGTGGAGATTGGCCAACGCCATCGGCCGGCGAATATGGTGGCTCGGAGTCTGGCGGACTTTCCGGTAAGTTGTGCCTACGTGAATGAATTTTAAAAAAAAAATAGTAAATATTCGTAAACGCGTTCAACAACTGAACGAACCTGTTGGTATAATTGTGTGACTTATCCTTGATCGGCTTATTACTAGGCAAACCGGCATTGGACAAAACAGTATTATTGTGGAATGACAAGTCGGCGATCGGTGGTATCGATGCGTTTTTCAAGAAAAGCTGAGGCTGTTCTTGTTGGTATGGTGTGTTTATTCGAACCATCACGTGATCGTTTTGTTCAACGGTTTCGTGAAAGAATCTTTGAAAACAAAAGTCAGGTATAAAAGCGACAAAAAAAATAATCTAAATGTATCACTCATTATTTATGTCAGGGATGCTATACTACACTATATACAGCATAATGGCAGTCCACAGTTGATTTTTAGTTGATTTTTTTTGAAAAAATATTTAATAAGTAATTATTTATTGGTCACAATGATTGAAACATTTTATTACCTCAGTCATAATAATTTTTTTTATGAAGTTTATTCTAAAAACAAATTATAGTATAGAAATATATAATGATATTTTTAATTTAAGCGTATTTTGTTATATTTTGTAAGTTCAAAATTATTTATTGATGGGTATAGATAATTTATTAGTATTACATTTTTCCTTTGTCAAAGTACTTATTAATTACTTAAAAACAGCTCTTTCCAGTCACTCCAAGTTAGCAATCCCTATATAAATATAATTTTATTATACTCAATGATCCAGACACTGTATTCGTCTTATTAGTATCAATGTTGGATTCATTTGAAAGCGAACAAAACAATTCTCAAGGCGAACATTTTCTCAAGGAGCAGCAATTATATAAGTTTTTTGTCTTTTGTGTTATTAAAATGTACTGAAAATATATCTAACGCCTGGCAGCGTCTCTGTAATAACTATCCCCAGTTGAATATAATAATAATTATAATAACATACAAAATGTATTGTAGGACTATAGGAGTATTTTAATGCATAATAAGCATTAAGCATAATAATATAATATACGGCTAATAAGTTGTTGGTAGTTCCTATTTTGCTAATCGGACATTTACAATATTATACATTTTATTTAATTAACATGTCCTATAAATAAAATGAATTTAGGTATTTAAGGAATTTTCGAGAAACTGAACCTATATACCAGCCGTTATGCTTATGAATAATATATCAACATAATATAAAACTAGCCTATTCGTCTTTGTTAGTTTTGACTTACAGAAATACAAAGTGCAGATCACCATCAATAGACAATCATAATATAATATTATTGTTATAGCCAGTACCTGATCACATTTCAAGTAGATACCTAGATAATTATTAATTCAAACTTGTTAGTCGTGTATCAACTTGCTAATATTTAACTGATATAAGTTGAATGCCACGTTGAAGTTATATTTTTATTGATTTAAGTAGGCAATTAAACAAGTTCTAAGAAGTAAAAACTGATAGGTAAGTAGACTGATAAGAATTTTGTAAGAAGTAACAATCATAATCAATAATCAATATTCTCGTACAATTTGTTTTATAAATACCTTAACGATAATTTAGGTATTATGGTAATTATTTATCCAATCAATATGTTATTAGAATAATTTATGTTAACTTAAATGAGTCGTCTGATACTTATTGTAATTTGTAACGTATGATAAATTTGTTTTTAAATAATACTTTATTATATTTACATAATATCATAGACACCTAGTACCTATTATAAATAGATAACACATTATTATATAATCCATATAGGTAGGTAAATATAATATACATTATGTATACTAACTGATTGGCTTCGGTATTGTTATTTTGAATGAATTCGTCGGTCAAATGACTGAAATCCAATGCTTCGTTGTCAATACCGCCTACAAAATCACTCCTATCTGTAAAAAAAATATATATAAAACATAAAAAGTGAAAAAATAGGTACTGCTCTATTGTACAATTTTAGGTGTTGAGTATACGTCGTAATCGAGTGGTCATTGCAGTGGATGTGTTAAATAAAAAATATTCAATTCAATCATAAATCATTGACTAAATGGTTCTAAGCGGAGATGGTCTGTCACTTATCAGCATATTATTATATGTATATTTGATTGAACATTGATATTGCTATAATTTCAGTAATACAGTAGGTCATTGGTTTAATTCATTTTTTCCGAAACCATTGCATTACTTTATTACATATCAGTATATATTGACATTATACACCATTGTTATACATAAATCGAAAAAAGTCAAACAATTTAAAATACTATTAAATAGCACATAAAAAGGTAAACTATTTTTAAAATCATTTCACATTCAGTAATTGCTAACAAGACTATTGTCTATTTGGTCAAAATTTAAAAATTTCTACTTTTAACTCTTATTAAGTTATGTATTACAAAAAAAAAAGTAAAATATATTTTGTCAAATTGTATTGTTCGTTTCCTAATAATTATTTTTGTTTCTTCCAGATCTTATAAAAATGTCTAGACAATTTTATCCAAACTACCTACTAGATCCAATTTTCAACCAAAACCCTCCATCCAAGTTGAAAATTGAAGCATTTTTATTTTGTAATACTCCAGAAAGTGGTAAAAGACACACATAAAAGATACACACGCCATCATTGTAAAATCAATACATTCATCTCTCCAAAATCTTTCTATTGCTAGTAACAAACCGTAGGTATAACCAATAATTACAAATATTAATAGAGCATTTATTTGAATATTGAAATTTGAGTCTGCACTTACAAATTATGTGGTGTTAAAGAATTTTGGAGTACCTATAAGTTTAACACAATTTCAGACCGATCATTTGATTGTTATTATGGTGGCGGTGACGAAGCAGAAGAAATGTGACAAATGTAATATTATTGAGTACATTAATTTGAAAAAAACTACGGAAGTCTATCTTTCCATATTAGGTTCGAATGAATCTCATCATTTAGTAGTTTGTTGTAATGGATATTGTGATAAATTGTTGTTTAAAGATGAATATTGAATACCAAAAACGATTCTGAGGGGAAACGATGTATCAAACTATATTTTTAAGGATATATTTTTATAACCTATTTATATTACTGTTAGTAGTATGGCAGGTATAGGTTAAACTAACTGTTTAGAAAACATCATAATATTGTTATATTATAAATTATAATATCATATGAATATTGTATCTTTATGTACTTTTAAGTTATAACTCATTTGTCCTTACAGACGTAGGTACTTACCGAAGAATGGCGAACATATTCTATATACGTAGTTTAAATGGATGAAATTTGTCTAAATATTTAGAAAATGTAATTGAGTATAAAAATGATGATTTAAATAATAGGTATACCTCATGTCCCTATAATATATTTTGAATTACCACCAAATAACAGAAATCATTATAGTAAAAGTCATAATTAGTTTGTTTGAAAATTTAATATCATCATAGTTGTAATTCAATTGTCTATAAAAAAAAATATACATAATAAGAAATCTTGATATTTCTAAATGTCAGTTATAAAATTTTAAGAAGAACATTGTGTTACATTTTCAGGCTTTGGTTATTAAAATTGGAAATTGAATAAATTAATAACAACATTATAATATGTCAATTTACGTGATTGTGAAAAATGTTGTGAACATTTAAAATTATAAATCGATGGTTAAAAAATTGTAACTGTATTTTTGATATTTTTTGCTTAGGAATGAGGAACCTTGTAATTGGTTTTCCTTATAAATCATACATTTATCAACATTTTGTTAACACTATAGCACCTATAGTTTTCTCAGATAGGTAAGTAATTATTGAAAAATAAAAGTAAATATAATTTTGATTAAAAATAAATGTTTCACTTTATTTGAAACTACAGTTGATTGAGTCTATAGGCTTTAGGCTTGAATTGATACAAGTTATAGAACATGTTTTACTATTATTTTTTTTATTTTTTTTTTGTTTATATCTAAACATGTATAAATATCCTTTTTATAATATTGAAACTTTAGTTAAGATAAATAAAGTAGTTAAATTGTAGAGGTATACAACTTTATGAATTCATCAAAATCTTTAACTCTTATAAATAAGTGTAACTATATTATAGTATGTACTTAGTAATAACTACCTATTTATTAATATAGGAATTCAACATTTTTCATTGATATTTAACAATCCTTTTATTTATAACCAAACATATTTGATTGGTACATTATATTAACTGTATAAATTATTCATTAGAAATTAATTTGTTCATCATAAATTATTTATTAACTAGGTCAATAAATAATACTGTATTAATTAACTTGAATCAACCGTTTAATTGTAAACAAGTAAGTCGTAATAACAATCACAAGATTTGTTAATGGACGGACAGACATGACATATGCTTAAGGATTATACTCGTAAGTGTAGTTAAGAATTAATAAATGTATGTACAATTAATAGTTATGTCTTCAATTATGTGGTATAGACGAATTCAATTTAAATTTAATAAATACTTTAAAAAATGTAATTATTCAACTATTTAACTATGGATAAAATTATTGTATTAAGTTAAATCATCATATATTATTATATATTTTATATTGTGCTTACTTTTTGTAAAAATTAATAGGTAGGTACTTATAATTTAAACTGTTTATTTTTCATTTAAAAACTATGAAAAGATATTTATAGTTAGGATTTTGGTTCGTGGTTGATTTAATTATTAAAGGCCGTGATTAATTTAAGTGTGCTACTGTTATGTCTCCAAATTATTATATCATAATATATAATATTTAATATTAAGTTTTTATTTACTAATTCGCTTGCATTTTTATTAAATTTACAACTCGTTAATATTCTAAATATTATGGTCGGACTGAATTGGTCAATTAAATACAACGACAAGACATTTAAAAAATTGTCTCGATCAGCTTTATGAACTTATCAAAATATTCAAAATTTAATAAATAATAATATACACTTACTATGCATGAGATGAAGTTTCCTGGGCTCGTTTGTGTGTATCCGGCTCGTCCCATAATCTTTTTCCAGAGGACTTGTAATATCAGGTAAAGTTTGATTTTGTATGGCTTGGGTACTAGACTCGTTCGAGAGTATTAATATTTGACCCGAGTGAGGTCCTTGAACATTACAATTCAACAGACTTGTTTCACTGCCTAAACCTTGATCGTCAGTGTTAGACACCAGCGTCCACGTGTACTCCATACTGTTTAAAGTTTTCAGATCACTGACCGGTTAAAACCAGAATTGAAGAGCGACAAACGAACTGGTCAACGGGCATCTGAAAAACATTCATATGGGTTTACATCGATTGCGCAAAAGAAACTACTTAAACCTTGGAAAAATAAATAATGGTGACCACCTATAGAAATATTTTAATATAGGTGCCCAGTACCTACATATTAGGTACACATCTACTAGCACCTATTTCGAAAGCCAAAATAACTCTATCGTAAGAGATGTTAATGAAACTAATTTCGATAATAATAATTGTGTGGAACAATACACTTTGTCACATCCATCGATATAATTGTTCAAAATGCCATCTCTTCCATCTAATTGATGTAACAAATATTTTATTCAAAATAAGCATAATATTTCCCTTGACTAATAATTATTATTTATTATAATTTAAATTATCATTGATAGTTTGTTTGATAAATTTTTAATGAATTGAATTTCATTGGTTTGTCTTTCATATTTCCCTTTTAAATAGGAATCCTTGTCAACGATAGTCTATCTGAATTATTCGTGCGATAAAATAATTTACCTTTAATCTCATTTTTATCTTGAATTTCATCTCTTATTAAAGTACCTCTAAATATGTCCTACCACATTTATATTACCTAAACTTTTGGCAAAAATCATAATCGACTTCTGGTTTATAGAAACTTAGAATTAATTGAATAAAATAAATAAAATGATTTATTAACATTTAATATGTTAATAATTCTATATGTCTATGTTAAAATAAGTTAAACATTATTTAATGGAGCAATACAACGATTTATTATTTTAATATTTGATTTATAATTCCATCCGAAATATTATAATAACTTTTGGAAAAAATTGGTACCTATTTAAAAAGTGCCCAAATACATACAATAAATAAGATATTCAAAACTTTTACCAATATGTTTTCCAACATTTTACGTGAAATATAATTACATATATCCAAAAAAAATATAATTTTGTTTTGATACATTTATACCAAATAGTAACTATATAAAGGAAAAAATGTATTGACGTGCAAGTCTAACTGTTAGTCATTTTCATTACCTAAGCCAAATTATTTTTATAATTTGAATCTAAATAATTGTTCATTAATTGTACAACCTTAAATCAAAATAAATTTCGTTTAAAATATTCTCATAATTTACTGGTGCAGTTTCCACATCATGCTGAATCCATTTGAATTCAATACGTGCGGGAAAAATACCAACTAAGATCATATAATATTATACACGAGTAATTGAAATTTGAAGCTTCCAAGTTCCAAGTTATAAAAATACTGTCATGAATTTAATTTTTATTGTATCTACAGTTTATTGTTTTTAGAAAAAACTCCCAAAACAACACTCGAATTTATTGTATTATACAAAGAACACTCTTTTTACAGCCATAGTCCAACGAGCGGACCAGTAAATCATCTATTTATTAATCACCTATATTACTCACTGTGTACGTATTAAATGAACGCCGGTGACAAATCGTCATAACGCGTATTTTTGTAATTCAATCACAAATAATTTTCAACATTTGAGAGAATATATTCCAGGTCGTAGGTAATTTTATCATTTAGTTACTGAGTGTTAGTTATCAACGAAGGAAATGACTGTGAAATTGTACGGATTAAATTGTGTCTAAATTAATAACGTAGGTACGTAGCTATTAACTGAAAATATTAATAACTCCTTGAATTAACTGGATGCGCCTTTAAAATATTCAGGTCTTAAAAGTTAAAAGACAAACAATATGCATTATATTTTATAAAATGACGTACCTATGTCGATTAGAATTTAAAACGTCTGCGCAACAATATAGACGATTTTTGATTCAGGAAGGTATATTGTTTCTATTCTTATTTTTTACTAGGCATTTATGCATATCTAAATAACTATATCTTTAGATTTAAAATAAGAAACAAAAGGAAACTTTTATAAATGTTTGCTCTATTATTTTATACAGCTAATAAAACCTTCATAATATTATAAGTTTTATTACTTTATTATGGACTTATGAAAGTACATACCAAAAACTTTTTTTTAAATGTATCTTAAAATTCAAAACTTGGATACGTCAAATAATTTTGTAGGTTTGTCGTAGTTGGTATAACGATATTTACATTAACTAAAAACAATATAGCCGGTTTATAATGCATTTTTGAGGAAAAACTTTGTATTTAGTACAATATTGTTGACTCTTTACATATAAAACAATGAACTTTTAAAATATTGTCATACGTTATGTTTTCGATTTTAGTTTCGAATTCTTTTTTTCCTTTTCATAGGTATTTCCATAATAACTACATATTTTGCATATTATAATATATTATATTACATTTTTACATTTAAATAAATAGTAAAATTTTATATTGAGTAAAACAAAGTCTTTAAAGTCTCGTTCGATTGCCGTTAGCGAAACAAATTTCAATTACTTAAAGTCTGAACGGTACTTTTGAAAAAGTTGAAATATTATTATGCGACAATATTACAGACAACTTTTAATTTATATTATGACACAAACATATTAATATCCAGCGATTTTGAAGATAATTATTTTTCGTTTAATGCCTTTTACTAAGACACAAGACACAGATAATTTAAAAAGCATTTATAATATAATTTATATAATTTATTAATGCTGCTTTGCAGGAGCCTATGACAACGGTTAAAATAATTCAGTTATTTTTAAACAAAATATTGATACTAAAATGCATTTATTTATTTTAATGCAAAAGTTATTATTTACTTATTTGAACTTTTATAGGTTATAAAAAAATATCACTCAAGTTTCTTATTTGATATATTTAAATTAATATTAATTACTCATACAAAACTTTATAAGAGTTATCTATAGTGAATTTATGATCATCATTCATCAGGTATACATTATCATTTATGATAACAATTTTAACTTTGAATAAATACATTTTTTTTTGCATTTTTAAAAGTGGATTATAATATTTTTTACCTATATTTAAATTTTTGAAAAAAAAACATTAATGAATTGAATCATTTTTTTTCCTATGGGTATTTTATTATATTATACATCGTATAAGTGGCTAATTTAAATCTATTGTTATATTATTGTTCATTTCAAATATAAAAATACAAAAAATGTAATTACTTTATTTGCTGAACATAATATTTTAATAGTTAGTCATTTAAGATGTATACGGCCATAGTGTATTATACGTTTTCTTCGTATTTTTAACGGTTTTATAAAATCAAAACTCTTTAAGAGCGCAGTTCAGCAATGAGAAAAAAATTCATTCTACTACTTTTTCTTTTGATAAGCAATTAAACGAACCTATTTTGAATGAGTTGAAGAGTCTTTCCTATAGACTTCAACACGCAATAACTATTAAGAGCTGTACTTTTACCTCGTCATTATTCCACGAATTCGATCAAACATTTTACAGCTTATAAGATTTAAGTAGTATTTTTTGATTCTATAATAAGGAAATGAAATTAATTTTTAAAAAAATAATTCGGAGAAAATTACAATAATATTTTACATTTTATAATATAACATTAATAAGTATCATTGCAAATAATAAATTATATAATTAAAAATTCGAGGAACAAGGCGGAAAGTCGCTCGCTGCAACACAGTACTATAGCAGTAGTGTACCTCAAGGTGTAACTACCTCATCATTGAGTAGTTGGTTGTATTAGATGTGTTAAATTCGAATTTCGACGGTGTATTCTAAACTCAATGTATTCCTAACGATATTATATAATCTAGTTATATATTACAATTAGTTATACACTTATACGTGTACTTATACCAACTTCAGTAGTACTACTAATTTTTACCAAACACATCGCATATATAAGGTTATTCACCAAGCATGCAAAATAACACAAACCATTTTAGAAGTAATCGTTATTTTACGTTTGACTAGTTAATTTCATCAAAATTTAAACTTCATGTTATGTTCATGAAAAATTAATGTGGCTTTAAGCTTTTTTCATTCCAGTCTGAATCACTTATAAGGAATGTTATGCTACATGTTTGAGCTTTGTATATTAAAGTTAAAATTTTAATGAATTTCTAACAACAAAATAATTTGTTAATTTTCGTAATTTTGATGAGTTTATACAAAATCCACAAATTATGAACCGTGTATTTATTTTTATTAATTATTGTAATATTAGAAAAAACTATTTAGGAATCTCATTGTTGGATAGACACTTAATAGTTAGTTTAATGACTACTCGCATTATATCGTTAAACTGACTGTACTAATTACCGACAGTTGGTGACACATTATGTTGGACCGACGTATTAAATTAATAGGGGAAAGATCATGATCGAAAACCAAAGTGCAAATTATATAGGAAAGGGGTCCGGTCAGCCACTGAAATATCAAATTATTAAGCGTTGTGTACAAAATGAATAATTAAATTTAGAAAAAAACTTTTTAAGTATCTGTGTAAAATAAGTTTTCAGATTCACTAGTGCTTTATAATTATTTATCAGTGAGGCCGACAATACCTCTCTAAAGCTACGCATATGACCAAATGTTCTTTTAAATATCCTCATGCGTGTATCACATGTGTCGCGTGTATACGTCCGTCCATAAGGTATTCTACCAAATTTATAAATTATAATATATCCTATTTAATTCCTGCAGGCTCCTGCATTCTGAGGTCATGTAATTGACAAGTTTATTATGTGTGCACAGCTGTGTGATATTAGACCGTTATTGTGTCTCAGTTGTAGCATTACACCTTCTACGAGTAGGTACAGTGATTTTCCCTTGAACATAATATATATATATATATATTGTCTAGACCCTAAAAACTCTCTGAACGCAATAACTTAAGACATCAAACGAAATACAAAATTAACGACTTTTAAAGATGTGGTTAATAGCATAGCATTATAATATATAAGATAATAAAACATTTTTTTAAAAACTATTTTATTGTTTTTTATGGTTAGTAAATTTGTATTGTTATAAATTATTATTATAAGCTCAGTGCCATTTGCAGCTATAGGGGAGGGGGGCAGTCAAGTCACTGGCCTTTTTTTTAAAAATAATTTTAGGAA